CTTTCTGCAGGCTGTGGAGTGCCAAACAGACTTTGCATCAAACCCATCAATAGACCAGAGGTTTTTTCTCCAGTCTTGAGATTTTTCCATTTTCTTCTCAGAAAGTTTTTGCATTCATGAATTTGGTTCACGATCAACTTGCATTCTGATGTGGTCAATTTATGGTTGGCTTCTTTCATTGCTTGCCTTTCCACAGGCTTGCTCAGAGCCGCTTGAACCACACATCCAAAAACAATGCATGCCTTGTGCCGGCTTTTTCAGGGTCAGCTGACCACAGGTTTGCATTGCAAGAGTCAGGGAAGCCTTTTGCAAAGGCCACCAGCTTGCTGATATCTGCCTTTATTGCAGGCTGGGGGATGGGCAGCATTGCTTCTCCTGACATCTATACCTAGCTTGTTTGAAGCCAAACAGCTGCAACATATCAAATAGCATGTTTCCAAGAAGCGCTTCTGGGAAGCCACAAAAAGTGACTTCCCAGAAGCGCTTCTTGGAGGTGGTAGCATGAGTTTTGGCAGAAGCCACATTTAGAAGTAGAATCTACTTTTCATGGCTGCCAGCCAGTTTTGAGAAGATAAGATTTGTGGCTGCCAGCCATGAATCTTAGCTGCCAGCCACAAATCTTATCTTCCAGCATTGGCTTCTAGGGGGCCAGAACCTTGGAAAGTGGCTGGCAGCCATGAAAAGTAGATTCTCGGATCCTTAGGGCACCTGATTTTCACCAAGTCCGGCTGACGAGCATCTCTCCAGAACCACACTTGTTGTCCGAGGCTATACTCCGAGTTGAGGCCTTTGTATTTTGCCCCGAGTGCACGTCGGAGCCTCTTGTCAGCATCGGCCTCGATCATGGCCTTCTGAGCAGCACTGCGGCGAGCCAGGGTCAGTTCGAAGTCCTCGTGGCCGCCAAAGTGGGCTGGCTTGAAGGTGTCTGCGAGAAGGCTGCCTGCCAGTTGTGGTTGATATCCAAGCACCCATTGCGCAGGTGAAAAACCTGCCACTGTATTGCTGCCATTGAGCTGAGGGACACAGTGGACCAAGGCTCCCTTGGCATTGTTGCGATGCTGATCGGAACAGTAGATCTCCACGGCCTTGCGCAGCAGTGCATGTCGCCGTTCAACAACAGCCAAACGCTCATGTGCTTCACCGGGGGCGACCTCGTGGAAGATGCCATGTGCAGCGCTCCATTCCTCAAAGATGCGACTTAGCCACGGGCGACCCTCGTCAGTGATGAGGCGTTGTGGAGGACCGAAGGTGGAGAGCCAACATCGCTCCAAGGCCTTGATGTACTCCTCAGGCTGTTCGTTCCGCAGCAAGTGAGCAGAAGTGTAGCGAGTGGCCATGTCGACCACGCTGAGGATCGGATACTTGTCTTTGCCCATTCGAATCCAGAACACATCAGCTTGGAGGATCTGGTTGAAGGTGGCAGTCTGTGGCATGGCTGCCGGTGCGGCATCTCCAGGCTTCTTGTATTTCGCACAGGCAGAGTGACACGTAGTTCCGGGTTGCTTCGATCACCTCTTCACTGGCTCCTCTTGTCGCAAGCAACTCGGCCAGTTCAGTGGGTCCAGGATGTCCAAGGTTGCGATGTAGTCGTTGAACCGTTCTGATGGCATCCTGTTTGACGGTGGTGCGAAGGCGTATCAGACGTATCAGATTGCCCGTCACGATCTTCTGCTCTGCAGTCATGAAGCCAGTCTCCCAAGCCTGTGGGGCTTCTTCAACAGCCATAGCACCTGCCAGAGTGGCAGCAAGCGCCGGTTGGCACTCCTCCAAGTACTTGGTGCGAGATCCGAAGCCAATGGCATGGCCTTCCAGGGCACAGTGCTGGTGATCTCCTTGACATTGAAGCGTCATGACATCTTGGAGAGCCTGCTTAGTGGTAAGCAGCGAGGTGCTCTTCTTGACGGGCCTCCATTGTCCATCGGTGTCCACGCAAGCTGCCCCATATCGACATTGATCAAAGTCGGCTCGACGACCCGGAGATCTCTCAAAGCACGAGTGCGCCAGGAGAGCGCGTGCTTGGGCTGTTCAATGTGTCCATGGCGGCCATTGTGCACTTGACCAAGATAGGCTCTTCGAACAAACATCAAGTGACGATCATGATGATGTTGTCGAGCAGCACGAAGGGCTTCCTGTTGAGCCGGAGTGCGTCTTCCAAGGGATTGCATCTTGCTCCAGAGCTTGCGCTCAGGTGCCAAGAGAACTTCGTCAGGACATTCTTCATCTTGTAGTTCCAGGAAGGCGCTCTGGTGATCCAACCTGTTAAAGTCCCAGCCGGTCTCATATAGGAGAACTGTCGAACCTCCATACCAAGAGTCTCCGCCACTTGGGAAGTGCGTGAAGCGCCACAGTACACCTCCCACAGTTTTCGTCGAGGTTCTGCTGGATGAAGTTGCTTGGTGACATAGGCTGTGAGCTCATTCAAATGAGTGTTCAGGTGGATGTCCATGGTCCTGAGATCATGACGCCGAAGTGCCTTGGTGTGGGCATGGTGTTGATCTGCTTCAGGCTCAGTGACAGCGAAGCCCGATTCTTCCTTCTCGAACTCTGCCAGTGGGACGTCCTCCTCCTGGCCCAGATCGGCTTCGGCGGTCTTGAGACAGTACTCGGGTTGCTCCGGGTCATATTCAACGAGGGAGTGCTCATCGGTGAGTGACAGGAGGTACTCACCTTGCCGACCAAGCGTAGCCTGTCGCCAGCCACCAGATCCAAAGCGAACCCTGCGAAGTGCAAAGTCCATCGTCATGCCCATGGCCTCAATGATGGGGCGTCCACATAGCATTGGTGTATGACCTGGTAGCAGGAACAGCTGTACGGTGCCATATCGACCGTCCAGGAACACTGGCACATGTGCACTCCAAGTCGACCAGGAAGCTGCATCTCCGCCGAATTGGAAGCGGCGTCTGCCACAAGTCATCTTGATCTTGTCGATCGGGAACTGACAGTCGTCCTTCAGGTGTTGCAGGAAGCGGCGGAAAGGGCCATAGCCTGAGAGGAAGGCACTCGCACCAGGATCCAACATGACACAGTCAGGGCGTTGATGTCCGTTGTGATCTTCAAAGTTCAAAGATGATCATGCCCTGCTCCTCCTCCAGAACCTGCGCCATACCCTCAGTGGGGGCTGGGCGCTTGAGACCAGAGCCTTTTGAGGCGCTTTGGGGACAGTTGGCTGCCCAGTGACCCTGCTGTCCACACCTGAGGCAGGTCATATTGGCCTTAGCTCTGCCCTTGGGATCACTTTTGCCGGCTCCTTGTGGTGGATACCGGATGGTGGCACTTGGTTTTCCTTTCCCTTTTGATTTGCCACCCTTGCCTTTTCCTTTCTTCTGCCAGTGCGAAGGGCTCGAGGAGGATGAAGCGTTGGCCATGACAGGTTGCTGGTTGTTGTCCGTGAGGGCGACCGCTGGCAAGAAACCTCGAGCCATCTTCAACTCATTGAATCTGCGCCTGGCATCGGTGTAGGAGGCAAATGCCGTGTCGTACTCATCAGCAAGACGTTCTGGGCTGCCGGTCTCGTCAGGCTCCTCTGGCCAGGGGTCTTCACCATAGTAGGCAGCGTCGGCATCGAACTCCTCCTCCTCATAGTCGTAGTCATAGTCGGCCACCTGTTCATCAACTTCATAGTAGCCGGTCTCATCATCCCAGCCTGAGTCTTCACCTTCCCACCATTCATCTTGTGCCGCGTAGGCCCGACTGCAGTTGCCCCACCTCTGGAAGCGCTTGTTGCGATCGTGATTCCAGCCGCCAGCCTTGTAGTCTTGACCAAACAGGAGATAGAGGGCTTCAATGATCGCGGCTTTCTCCAATGTGGGTGCTTTCAGTGTGACCAGCTGTCGTTGATCCTTCGTCAAGGCGGCTCGACGCAGCAAATGCCGCCCTTGAACGGATTCAGGAAGGGATACTTTATGTTGTAGAAGTTTCCTGTAGGCCTCCTCATGATCGTTGACATAGGTCAGGAGTGTTTGACCTGGAGCACGTTGGAGGAGGTTGAAGTATCCTTCAAAGTCTGAAGGAAGCTGGACTCGTTGGTCGTACGAGAAGTTGCTGTCCAGTATCTTCAACATGGTCTCGAAGGCATCGTCCTTGTCGAAGCGGTCCAAAGGCCAGTCCTCGAACAAACGCCAGACCACCCCCTTGAAGCTCCCAACGATGTTGAGGACCCCCTCACTTGCCTTCTTTGCCAGCGTCATCTTCCGGTAGTAGAGCTGCACGCGCTGGCGCCATTCACGATGGTCAGAAGGCTGACCGCTGAACAGTGGCACATAACTGTCACGGACATCAGTGTAGGAGGTGTCCTCAGTCGAGCTGGTTCCGGAGCCCTGGGCCTTCCCTTTCTGTTGACCTTTCTTTTGAGACATCGATGAGGTCAAAGAACACGATGTGGCTCCTCCAAAGGTGTTGTTCAAAGAGGTCGGATGAGAGGAGCGAAGCAAACTCGGCAAAGGGTAGGTGACCAAGGTCTTGTCCAGAACGCTCAGCTCGTTCGAGCGAAGTCCGCAGCGGGAGCCCTCGCCCTGGAAGGGCTCGGGCTCCGCTACCAATGTCAAAACAGAGGTAGTGTCCGAAGAACTACGTGTAGAGTGAGTGAACCAAAGGATCAAACACAAGCGAATTGGAAGGTCACCGAAATGACCACGGCCGCGCGCCTTTTCCGGCATCTTAAGCCCGCCCTGCGGTCGAGCAAAGTCTGTCAACCTAGTTCGACAGCGTCTGAACTCACAACAAGAAAAGCAAATACCACATCGGAGAATTCTCCCGTGCTGCCAGGCCAATGCAACACATGAACGTCACAAGCAAGCTCAGGGAGGCACTTGCCCGGAAATCGTAAAAATTGATGTGGCAAGCAAGTCTTCAGTTCAAGATGCAACAAATTCAAGCGGAAATCATACAAGAAACCCTAGATCACGAAAATCTATTGCAAGCAGGGACAAATCCCTTGCATTGCAAGCAGGAGATGTTCCACCAAAGAAACAACCCATTGGAACATCGATTCGACAAGTGTCATCCTTCTCCACGTCCAAGAGTTCAACACCGCGCGCTAGTAGTAAACATCCTCAAGCACGGGGCCGTAAGCAGCGATCCACTGAGAGACCAGTAGAACAAACCCTGATTTATGAAACCACTGTGTTAAAGCCAGAAAAATTGTTCAGGCAATCAGCCACACCATGGCAGCCCTGTTGTACAGTCTGAAAAAATGGAATGATCATTTTGGTGAAAGCCCGGCCTGCTATTAGCAAAAGCTGCGGCTGCATTCTAGCATGGCCTGGACCAAATCGACGCAAGCAACCTTTGAGCAGTGCATGAGAGATCCGCACTGCCTTGGCTTACAATGTAGATATTGTACAGTAGATCCGGTTGATTATCGTAGTGAGGGCGGTTGGCGGGTTCTCGGGTTCGTTTGCCCTAAGTACAGCGGCAGGCCTGCCCAGCCCCGAAATAGCTCGCAAATTAAGACACCCACGTACTGAGGTGACAAGACGGAGCCAAGGCACCCCATTAGGTTCGGTAGTGCGACATAGCCAGGCCACTTGAACAAAAATGCAACGGTGCATGGGGAATCTGACTTACTGTGCATGAGCGGTTGACCTCTATTATTGCTTCTATCGCAAACTCCTGCTTGCCTTCTGAACCTTTTTGCTTCAGTTCGGACTGACATGTAGTTGCAAGTGATCCCAAAGATGAGGCTGCTTGCAACTGCTCTCCAGCCCTGTCAAAAAGAACTGATGCCTCACTCAAAGTCACCAAGTCTGATTCCTCCAGCTTGGCGATGCACAACTGCACCTTCTGCCATTGCCATTTGCTTTGTTTGTGAAGTGCCGTGTTCAAAGTGATCGTGTTGATCTGCACATTCAAGGTTCCCATTCTCGCTAAGAGCTCTTCTGCGTGCTGCCATGTTTCCTCTTTGGTGCTATATGTACTCATGCAATCATTATATGCAATTGAATCAGACTTGATGCTCCTGCGCTCAGAGATGTAGAGGGAAAGAACAGCTAATCTCCAGTCTAGAACAGATACAGCAGAAGCGCAAGTGATGTCGGTCTTGAGGTTCCGGGTCTGCAGCTCTTCCCAAAGCACCACAGCTCCAGGCCAACGGGTTAGATCCTTGTATACATCAATCACTGAGGTATAGGACACCAATTCTGCCCGCAGATGGGTATTAAGATCCTGCAGCAAATGCTGCGCATGGGCCCAACATGTGACTCTCTTCCCACATGCATTGATTGCAGAGTTGAAAGAGACAGTGTCGGCTTGAAGTTGCCGATGAATGCTCTGTAGCAGCACTAGAGCGGTCTCCCAGTTTGCAGAAACTTGTGTCATAGCAATATTGTAGAGCATCAAGTCTGCCTGCACCGTGACATGGCAAAGCTCTTGAAGCATCTCGCAGCATGCTGTCCAGCTGCATGCCTTGAGGGCCACACTAAAGCTGATGGAGCCCACACGGTTTGCATTACGAAGGCATCGAACACACTGCTGTGCATGTTGCCATCGCGTTTTCTCACATGCAGTAGAAGCCATATTGAACGAAAATTCATCTGGTTGTAGTGCTTGTTTCTGGATTTCTTTGACTAGGGTCAGTGTCTCTTCCCATCGACGTGCCTTTACACTCGGAGCGATGGCTGCATTGTAAAGAATCGTGTCTGCTTGAATCCACAAAGCGTGGCTCATCGAGTGCAACAGAGCGAATGCTCGATCCCATTGCATCTTCTCACTGAGTAGTGCCGTGTAGCTTATCACGTCTGCTTCCCATCCGTTCTGCACCTTGTCTAGCAATAATCCTGCTTGTTGCCACATTCCTGCAAAGGAAGCAATTGCCTCGTTGTAAACAACAGTATTGAGTTGCACTCGGCATTGCAATCCCAACAGAAGACTGGCCAGCTCCCACCGGCCAGCTTTGCGGAAAGCACCCATTGTGGATCCGACAACAACCACATTTGTCTCTGTTGTCTTCTGCAGTTTGTGCAAAAGTCTTAAAGCCCACTCCCAGCGAGAAGATCGGCCACAAGCAACTATCGCTATGCTGTAGACAACTTCCAATGCAACTTCGTAAGGTTTGTTAGCCAAGTACCTCAAAACCTCCTCCCACCGTCCATGCCTGGCGATCTGCTGGACCCTTGAAATCCAGTGTGCCGCAGTTTCGGTTGAAGCGACTGCTTGCATTCTAGAGCCCAAGAGCTATATTCTTGAAGGTGCAGGTGCAGCCCGATAAAGTCTCAAAGGCACCATACATGTTGGGATTGTTCGAGCACCTCCAATGTATTTATGCTTAAAATTGTAGTGTGTCCTAGACGGTACACATAGCACGTTTCTGATATTTTGATATATATATATACTATACTGGTAAAGATATGTATATAAAATATAACACTTGTACGTATACTTGCTTGGGTCTCCGAGTCTCCGGCGTCTCCGGTTTGACATTTATAGTTGCACCTGCTGAAACAATCACTTGCAGTGTGAGCCAGGTCCAGTGTCATGTCATGCTTGCCAATAGGCTTGCTTTCTACATTTTGCAGCCCCACTCCCATGTCACGGTGGCCGCCACAGGAACAATCCCCTGGTGGTTCGAAAGGGCAGAAGTTTCTTAAATACACATGCAAATGACTGCAAATGCATGACTGCTAATGGAAACGAGCGCCAGGTTGAAGAGATAGATGGATGCCCTATCCTCAAATCCAGCAAGCAAAAACCGAGGTAAATTTAGCTTCGGCAGACTTCCGGAGTGGTGGCACCGAGAGAGTTGCAGAGATACATTGCACCAGCTAGACCCCCTGTAGCCGTTGAAATGCAGCTGGCTGGAAAACTAGAATGTCCCATATACACACAGCCAGCGCAGCCAGCTCACAGCACAGGCACCAGCACCAGCACGCACAATCAGCACCGAGAAAGCACACGCAACCAGCTGACAGCACCGGCAGCAGCACCAGCACGAGTCCAGCACTCCTCTCAAAAGCACACACAGCCAGGCTGCATCACCGGCACCAGCACCAACACCAGGTCTCCAAAGCACCAACACCCGGTCTCAACAGTCAGCTCATTCTTGTTTGAAGCAAGAAGCCCATAATAGCTATCGCTATCTGGGAAGAAAAACCACCCGGTTACAAAGCCTGAAAACCAAGACAAGTCTAAGTGAGGAAGTGGCCCGTTTACTCACAGGGGACAACATATACTGCATTGGACCTGCACACGGCATACTGAATTACATTGGCAGAAGTGGCGCGGCTTCATATTAGCCTGCCATAGTTTACCAGTGGCTCCAATGGCAACATCTGAAAAAAACATCATCAGCGATGAAGAACGTGCAACTCGTACTTGACTTGTTATTGTTTTGTTCATGACATCTGCGACGCGTTTCACACTGTTTTGGGAGTTTGCAAAAATGCAAGTCAGAGTCAATGCAAGCTGACTTGGATGACACAAAATGCAGACCACGGCTACATGCTTGAACCCTTGGAAGCAGCACTAATCATGTTAATCAATGGATACAAGTCGTCTATATGTCAGCATGGATTGTCAAAGGGGTGCCAACCATGGCAAAATGCTGGTGGGATTGCAATGGTCTGCCATCTTTTGTCTTTTCACACAGTTGCAGTGTGAGACTAGCACTCCCCATGCCGGCCGGTCAAAAGGAGTGATTCACCTCCTTGATGTTGTGGTGCTCTGCGTGACTTGCCTGCTGACATGAGGGAAGTCTGATATGCAGCTACGCACGACATGTGTTCAGGATCTGCTCTTCTTGCTCCCGCAAATGCCATTGTGGTCTAGCCTTGGCCGATCATAAAGCATCCGCTCGCAGAAGCCTTCCTCAGATATCAACCGTGTTTAAGATGCTGAGCAGACAAATCTATTGCGATTCCAGTAGTGAAATAACTCAATTCAGCCCCGGCATCTAGCAGCATCACAAAAGGCGGAACTTCAGAGCCCCGCTCCCTCAACAAACCGGCAAGTGCTGCACAGCACCCATAAAACCCATCAAAACCCAACGGCCTCGTACTAATCGAATGAGCATTGGACGTGCGTTGAGCCTTGAAAGCTGGACAGAGGTTTGCAATGCTTGAAGGTTGATATGTTACGTCGCTTGACACCCAGCGCATCTGCTTGGTCTCAAAATGAGGTTCTGTACTAAATATGTATTCAGAAGAAATGAGCCCAACAGCATTGCCAACGGTCAAAGCTTGAGTTCATCACACCCTTTACCTTTTAGACAATTGAAAGGATGACAGGCCTGGATCGAAGGTTTGGGTGGTCTCATCCTTGACACGTGAAGCCACGGAAAACACTTGAAAACGCTTCTCAAACTCGCTCAAACTCGTCTCAATTTGATGATCGAAAATGATCCAAGAGTTCAATAGCAGCTGGTGACAAGAAAGAGAGTTGTCTTATGTTGTCTTCTAGAATGGTCGCAATGCGTCACAGTGCGTAGCAGCTTGGATAACCCATAATAATATAACGAGTACGTGGCTCAAATGCTTGTCAAAATGTGTCCTGTAAGGTTTGTCAGGAAACTCTGAGTGTACAAAAAACTATTCAAAAGCAGAACCTGCCGTGACGAAGTTAATGCGAAGGAAACAACAAGAATGAACGTTTCAAATCCAAGAATCGGCGGCAAGCTCTCTCCGAGCCCGACCTGAAATCAGGAGTCGGGTGCTACACGAGCATCCATGAGCACTATCACTCCTCTTCTACTCCTCTTTCCTCAAATTGATACCCTATCGTTTGACGCTTTGTGTTGGGTAGATTGTTGTATAATGTTGCACAGGGGAAGCCTTTGGCCTCATCTATTATGTAAGCAAACAGTGGTGGAACGTGTTTGTCTCTCTGCAACACCGGGTATCTTCAAGTCTTCTCACAATATGTGACATAACGTGGTCTGGATCATCTACATTTCATCAGCTGGCCTTCAAGGCAGCTTGCGGCGGGCCCTGAGACCGCGTCTCGCGACAACTTCGGGTGCATTGACTTTCCGAAAACGAACGAAAACCGAATTGAACCTTCTCCTCGCTTGCATCACTCTTTGGTGTCTGCCTGAGACTGTTCGAGCACTGATGAACAAGGACGCCACTAGGAACAAAGGGCATCGCTACAAGGAGCAAGGATGCTACTAGGGGCTCCTGGCCTTACTACATCTTACTACTAGTCACAAGAAGCTACTTTAGGAAAATAGTGAGCAGAAACAGTGAGCTCCAAGCAGTGTTGCAGGATAGGCGTCGGCAGGAACTTGCCCAAAAGGCGGTCTGCGAACCAAGGCCACATAATTATCTAATAGTAAAGTAGCGTGACTCGGCACAATGAAGTCAAAGCACACAGTCCGCACCGAAGGTGCCGAGGCGTTGTGGAGGCTCGCATAAGCCGCAAGAAGTCTGCCAGATTGAGTCCTATGGATATGGCTTTGGACCAAACGCTGGCGGTGCAGGTTACGCCGGCCGGGGGATGTCGCATTATTGACATCGCGGGCGCACGTGCAGCCCGGGGGATACTGCATTGACATCGAGGGTGTGTTCATCCGTCTGTCCTGCCCGACCGAGACCGAGACAGACAGACCGAAACAGACAGACAGACAGACTGAGTCAGACAGACCGAGACAGACCGAGTGAGACAGACCGAGGCAAGCCGAGACAGACTGACCCGGATAAACAATTGACATCGTCCGTGTGTCCTGCTCGACCGAGACAGACAGACTGACAGACCGAGACAGACGCACCGAGACAGAGCCCTCTGATGATTAGATAGGGCTATAGCGAAACGCTTCTTCACGCCTGAGCCCGGTTAACATTTCCTCCCAGCTCCGAGAGCACAAGTTGCTAGTTCCCGCCTCCGCGAACGCAGGTTGCTGCCGAGCCGGTAGGGTGGTAATGACACACTTTTCCCATGTACGTATGTTTGCATGTATATATACGTATGTCTGCATGCTTGGATGGATGTCTATGTCTGTATGTGTGTCTGTTTTCCCTTTACTCTGTGCGGGCAGCTTCGACCGCGAAGCGGTGTGAATACTGTTCATTTACCATAGCTGAATCACTGAAGGCACATTGGTCTGTTCCCACCTGAAACAAGCCGGTGGCATCCTTGGCAAAAGGAAATCCAAGTCCTCAGAGCCTGCTATGAGCCCGCATTAACCTTGTTCGGAAAAAACAGATCCAAGAGCGAAACTGTCCCGCATAGGGCATGGTTCCCGCCTCAACATGCAACGGTGAGGAAATCGGAGGGGCACTGCGTCTTAGCACTGGTTTGGCCCGCCACCATGGGAGGAACTGGAGGTGAGCTCTTCATCATTGCAGCCTGTCTGACATGCACAGACTGCAGACTGGCGGGCCTCTCTGTGTGCAACATAGGTTTGTCAGCAATTCACAGATGTGTCAATGTTCACATGTTTCCTTTTGCAAGGGCAGATGGGTAAATCCTCTTTTTTGGTGTGAATCATCAGGGCGAAAAAGACCAGAAACTAATGCGTGCATATATTGCACATGAAATTAATGGCATTGTTGATGCCCTGAAACAAGGGGTGCCTGGGCTTCTTGATTGTGCTAATCCGTGTCTGTGTGGGGATATGCGGCGATTGATTGGTAACACTGGCAAGGTTTCTTGAAGGTGCCAAGCCAGAAGCAGCTCTAGTTGATCACTGGAGGATGGACAAATGCAGCCTCCAAATTGCGGACGGTTCGGGCATGTTCCCATGTGTGATAGCTCGGCGTGGGCAGAGCTATGCAGAGCTGATCACACTGACAAAGGTTCAACAAACAACTTAGCACACACATCACAGGGTGTAGGTGGCTGCAGACTAACAGAGAGGCAAAGCACTTATCAGCGATGCCCACCAATCCATTCACTAACCGAACCAAGAGTCAGTACTTCGTTTCTCTACATGCCAACTTGGTTGAAGCAAAACACGGTTGGAACAGATCAGAACCAAGAAGGGGGATGCCGCGCAAAACTTCCGGTTGTCAAAACATAAGAGCGCCTGAAAACATCTGGGCGTCTGCCGTGTGAAGGGACAGCAAGCCAACTCAAGCCAAACACTTTAGGAGCCAACTCAAGCCACTTGTGCTCAGTGCTGCCAATTTGTCCCGAAGGCCTGGCCACCAAGCATTGAACAACCATCCTAAGTGGGTTCAAGGACGTCTTCTAGGACATTGACAAAGTAACTACAGTAGTACTGGTTGCACAAAATCAATGTAGCTGATCAACCACTGCCCACTTGACAAAGTATAAGTAATTTGCACAGGACAGTAGCTGCCAGATAGAATGCCAGCGAGAATGTCAGCGGTACCATGCCAGAAAGAATGTTGGAAGATTCCAAATAGATTGCCCCGTCAGACTAGATGCCAGATAGAATGCAAGAATGACTCCCAGAAGATATGCCAGTTTAGAATGCCAGAAAGACTAAAAATGTCAGAAGATAGGCAAAAAATGTGATTTGCACAAACAAGGCCTGCTATTAAACGCCTGAAGCACCTTCGTTGCGGTTGAGAAGGCGGACGCAAGCACCCACAGTCTCAGACAAAAAGAAGCATGAAGAACCTTGAAAACAAGGTGCAAGGCTCTTCGAGCACCTGGTGCGACCAAACTCCATGGCAAACCAATCGGATGATTGGCCACACTACCTGCAAAGCCCTTAGCTAGACGATGCTACAAGCGCGGCCTCTATAAAAAGAACATGAAGGGGCAAAATATAACGACATATGAATAGGTGTTCCTTGTCTGTTTCCATGAGGGGCTTGCCTTGCGTCTTTGCGTCTTCTCCCAGAGCGCCATAGCGTGGAAAGATGAGGCAAGGCTCACGAGGGGAGACACAGAGCGGCGGTGCAGTGTCTCCCCCCGTTATGGGAACGGCAGACGCAAGGCCAACTCCCAAAGGGAATAAACACGGGAAACTGTCACTTCTATGTGATTATGTGGTGTTTTCTCTCTGTATCTCTCTTTTTCTGTTGTGTTTTCTTGAAATTCTAAAAGCCTCTCCAAGTTTTTACTGTACATAGTTCCTTTCTCTTCTCTTTCTCCTTGTTTCTTTTCCTTTCAGGTTGGAAAAGGCTGAACGTTGGCACACACATGAACACCTAGTTTCTCTAAGAACGATTTACCAGATCCACATTCTCACAGCATTGATTCCACAAAATGCGACCAGATTACCACTCACACAAAAAAGACAGTGCATGCTACAGCACCCTACTCCTCTATAAATGCTTGTCAGTCATGGGTTCATAAGGCATGCCAAGAAAGGCTCCCGAAACAAACAAACAACAACTTTACCTCTGAAATGATGTCAAAGGTTCTCCAAAAACTGTACAGTAACCCTCTCTGCAAAATGCGGGTCTAAAACGCATGTTGTAGGATCACAAGAGGACCAAGCACGCGGTATCCTAGGATATCTATTTGATGGCAACACCTGCATCGCATTGGCATTGGTTGATATCTGTTTGACGGCTGATGTTGGCTGAGCAGCGTCTCTTCGCCTAGAGGTTGGGAATACATAGGCTGTCAGCATAGGCATGTGGGGCGCAAGAGTGGCTAGTCGGACACAGAATGCACTCACAGTGGCGCAATGGTTAGACAGCACTTTGACATCTATGCGTATGGACACCTGAGCAAAGGGTGAAACAGGACATTTTGCACGGTTGAAACCAAATCTTGTAAACACCACTGTGACCAAGGTTTAAATAATATCCAGCATCAACAAATACGCAGGGGCTTTTCTATTCTACGTGTGCTCAGCGTGGTTTCTATGTACTTCACTTGACAAAAACCACGTGACCAACACGCTGCGATCGACTGCGAGGCACCTGCACCATCATGGCAGCCAACACTGCAGGATCCTTCAAAGCAAAAGACCAAATGTATACTTACTATTACTCATTCATACTCATTATTGATTCATACCCATGCCATTTGCACTCGTCGCAATGGTTCGCTATAGCCGGCATCGCCTGACTCGAGCCCCATCCAGGAAAGCCTGTGGAAGCCGTGGAGGGTCTCGAACCTAGACTGCCAAAGCGCAAAGCAACATAGAGCGACTGTGTCATAGCAATCTCTGCGGACCTGAGGATTTCGGAGGGTCAGGCCTTAGGAAGAATGCTCCTAGTAGTAAGGCCAGGAGCCCCTAGTAGCATCCTTGCTCCTAGTAGCGATGCCCTTGTTATTAGTAGCTTCTTGTTCCTAGGCCTTACGGAGAAATTTGGGGGATTTGGATGGGTCGAAGGAAGTCTGGGAAAGTCCTCGCTTTTGCGCACTTGGGTTTGGGCGGAGTGAGCAACTCGTTCAAAAACACTGGAGCCTTGCCTTATCAGTTTGAGCTCCCAAGTTTGCACTCATCGCTTCTCAAAAAGTGCTTCTCACATAGGTTGTTCAAAGCTCGTTGGTGACGCTTTGGCTATTTCCACGCAAACATACTCACACAAACACCTCAGGAACTCTAGGCCTCCAGCGCTCCGGCTTTGGTGGGTCTTTCTCTGGAAACATCTGGCAATGAATTGTTGATAAAGCCAAAGATTGATGCAGGTTCAAACTGTCAAAAATCAAAACTTGTCAAACATGGACAAACATAAAGTCACAAAAGAACAAACTGCAGAGCACAAAGCACACAGAGATGACAGCGTTCTGCGTTGGCGTTTGCACAATTGAAGCACCGCCTTGTCAATGTAGTCTGCTGGCAGCCTAAAATTTCAAAGCAACCAGAGTCTGCTCTGCACCACCTACGTATTCTCCATGGCTTTCTCTTGTTTCTTCTATCGAGTCAATCCGTCTCAAGACCCCAAGCATGCAAATATATATATAGGGCGATTTTGATCGACTTTGACCATTGTGCCAGTATGGCGGTCTCGTCTTTGGATTGCTAAAAAATGTTAATAAAAGTTGAAAGTGCTAGATGAGCAGCGCTGCACAAAACTATGCGAACTGTACCATGAGACAGTGGAAACACGCGGTGGACACTTTGAAGCCACTTTTTGTCTAAGAAAAGGCGCACTCTGCCTTTGCAGGTTATGAGCCCAAGGTTGAAGGTGTGAGCCTTCAGCAAGGAAAGCCAAGAGGCTGAGGCAGGCCCAGCCTTGTTGACGCCATGATGGCGAGAAGACTACGATTGACTGGAGATGATCAAAAGCAAGTTGATGATGGCGATGAAGACTTCCGGGCCCAGCTGTGAGAAGTATGCAGCTGGCGAGAAGTATGCAGCTGGCCACCCCAGGTGGAAGGCAGAGGAAAATGGAAAGCCTGGTTTGCACCATCAGGACTAAAAAAAAATCCATCGCAAACCAGATTGTCGACGCGAGAACTTGGAAACGCCAATGAGGTCTTCTACAAGACTCTATGCGGAGCTCAACAATGTAGAACGCAGAATCAGAGCGCGTGGGTTTGACCAAAACCTCGATGCTCACAAATGAACTCCGTGGAGGTGTTTCCGGTGCGATCATCGAGGAGGAATGCCTTGTGTGCCGCCCTCAGGCTTGAGCTGAAGGCTCAAACATGGCAGCTGCAATCAAGAGGATGCATCTCGGAGGAGTGAAAGAAGACATGATCGAGAAATATCGACTGCATTCGACTGCCATTTTTTGCCACAGAAAGGCACGCTCTGCCTTTGAAAAAAATATAAGAACCAAATCGTTTGCAGAATTTCAGCTAACGCGGCACCTCTCTGAGGAGATCAGCTCTCCAAGACTTGGCCGCTGCCTGCCCATAGAAATTCACTGTTTGACATTACGATTTGGAGTGACTGTAACATCATCTATCCAAGTAAAATAATCACACGTGGCAGGGTTTGGGCGGGCAAAGTTTCAGAGGTTTCCAACCAGGTTCGGTTTTGAGCCAAGCGACACAAGAGGTCAACAAATGTTGACCATTTCTGTCCATGTTTCCTACATACTGCCTCTCCTTTTGCTTCATCATGTGCTGACTATATCAAACCACACAAACACACACTTTGGAAATGCGTGCGAAACTATTTGCGGCTTGCCACACGCCAGCCTAAGTAAAAAACCTAAGAGTCCAGGGAGTATGAAAGCTGAAAGTAGTAAGAGTAAAGGAAGTCTCGAAAGCTTCAAAGTCCTCCAAGTTTGATAAGTTGCAACTGCAACCTAGTGTACTCAGAAACAGTTGAGCGAGGGAGAACCATTGGAGTCAGTGTGTTCACAAGCAGGTACGTGGAGGCGCCGTCCCACTCCATATCCTCAGGTACATCGCCAGCTTCGTTGACCAGGCGACGATGTACCTTGCCTGGTCCCCTGCTACACAATAAAAAAATGATCAAAAGGCCCTTCTGAATCCAAGGGTTACAAACACACACACACACACACACTTGAGATAGTGCGTACTGATCTGATCGCCGCAAGCCCTGAAGAAGCCTAAGTGAAAAATTGTCTGTGTGAAACAGGTAATATGTATAGTGCAGTCGAATCGTCAACATTCCAAAAAGTTCCAAAGGCCCAAGTCTCAAAGAAGTTGACGACGAAACGAGCGCACATCTGCCGATGAAGAACCGCTGCAAAGGCTGGACACATTGCGCTAATTACAATCAGGGGCCAAAAGGAAATAGGCTTTATTAGCGCTCAAGCAGGTACGTGATCCCAGCGTCCCAGGATCATACCAGCCATGGAACGCAGCCCTCTTCGTGGGACAACCAACTGCATCCATGGGGTTCCACCCCTGCTATTTGAATGGGACAAAGAGAAGGGAAACACAAAGGATTCCTGTGACTCCAAGGGTTTCTCACACTTAGAAAATGTGTACTGACTCGATTGCGGTTTGCCACACGTCAGCCTAAGTCAAAAACCTGAGGAACCAGGACAGGTGTCAGTAGGTGGTCTAAACATCGGCGAAACCTCCAAGGCCTCCAACTCCAATGTTGAGAATCTCAACGAAAACGACAAACGCATGACTGCCGAACGCAGAACCGATGCAAAGGCTGGAGATCTTGTTGTAGTTAAAATAACAGGGCCCAGGAACTTGAAGTCAGAACTCTGCAGGCACGACGTCTCCATCTGTATCACAGGTAATTGATGAGCGTCTTTGTTAGCGCCGGTCTCATCAGCACCCCCGGTGCCCCCTGCTGAAAAATTCAAAGGAAGCCCTATGAGTCCAAGGGCTTCACACACATGCCTCCCAATTAGGGAGGCAAAAACAATCAAATGCGCATACGCGACAAAAAGATGAAGACATGAGAAGGAGGAGTCGACGGGGGAAAAAATGTACGTGGTTGCGACGAAGGGGAAACCTCTCACCCATCCTATCAAGCTGGGAACTACAAGACAGAGCAGGCGCGCCGACCTTGTTTTGCAAGATGTAGGGACAAGCCATCCGTGCAGGACTCTGAAGAGAGGGTTGGTGTTTCTGCCTATTACCCCAACCAACCGCGAACACCGGCACCTCTCACCCATCCTCCGACCTTGTTTTGCAAGATGAAGGGACAAGCCATCTTGCCTGATGGAACTCATCTGCACAGGCCGCCCACAATAGACCCCCAAAAAATTGCGCGACTGAGCAGTCCACACCAAGCACAGCTACGGAACCTCGCGACAACCGAAAAGCCTATGGTCGAGGCCAGCACGTCCGCCTAGCTGCTCTCTGCAGGGAATTTCTCTCCCATTTCCGCGGGCCATGGCTTCGCCGCTGGATGGTTCCAACAACTCAGCAGATCTGCCTCCTCATTCCGCTCCCCCGCCAAATGCGACAAATCCAAGGCCACGCAAAAGCCAAGGCCATCAGCGCAAAGACCACTGGCATGTTGTCGCAAGCGCACATGATGCAACTGGGCGTTCCCATCAACCTGATGAAAATGATGAAAAGGATGAAAAGGGAACCCATTGGAGGGGCCAAAAAACTGATGAAACCAAACCTCATTAAAGCGACCTAGGCAGACCTAGAATGGTTTGAAATGTGTACGCTGTGTGTGTGCTCAAGGCTGCGACTGACCCCATGAATGGGTCCAAAAGTTCTCACCGCTCTTGTCACCTTATGCCATGCCAACGTGGCGGGCAGCTTAGACCGCTCTGGTCACCTAATGGCTTGCCCAAAGGCTGCCTACTCAGATTCAATAATCCGTCAAGTCTTGGCAAGTAACTTGGGCTTAAACCTTCTGCTGTCCGCGGCGGACTGCTGTCCGCGGCGGACACCTACGTTCCCAAGCCAGGGAACATGGACAAACCCCCGTTCGACGGGGCCACAGGGGACACTCCTCGGGTACACCCTGGGCTCTCACTGATGAGAAGCACACTCGAGATATTGCGTACTGATCTGCTCGCCACAAGCCCTGAAGAAGCTTAAGTTTAAAACGTTCCTGGGTAAAACAAGTAGTATACAGCGCAGTCGAATTGTCAACATTCCAAGCTGCCATCCTTTTCATTTCTGGCCTCAAAAGCTCTTCCAAGATGTGAATGCCACGGCGCACAACCGACACGCCTGACTTGGCAAGCCACCATTCTCACTGTGTGCCGCCATGTGAGTGTACTTCGCCAAGCTGGCGGCAAGATAGGTCTTTCACGGTTTTGAACACCCTTACGTGATCTTACATGCATACAATGCCTGCAGCAAAAAAATATGCACACAGCCAAGATCATCTGCGCACACAGGGCACATGGGGTGGGGTGGGGCTAATGACGTTCACTTCGACTAGCAGAGCATTCATATCTAATATTCCAATGTTGAAGTAAGGGTATGGTGGTGGGGTGGGGTGGGGTGGGGTGGGGTGGGGTGGGGTGGGGCTAATGATGTTCACTTCGACTAGCAGCGCCACAAGAGCACACTCAAAAATAGCACACGTCGATGCCCAGCAGACTCTGCAAGCTTGCACCGTCAAAATGCACTTTGAACAAGTCGAGTCAAAGCACCATAAATACCAGCGAATTGGCCTCACACACGTCTGAGCACCCTGGATCAACACCCGGCCTTTGCACCCACCGTAAGAACCCAAAGTATGGTCACACTGAGGCACCCCACATACAGAAGCCGCGTGTACAGACGATCCTCGCGTGTACAAACGGTCCCCGTCACCGCGTGTACAGACGATCCGATTTCCGCGTGTACAGACGAACCCCTGTCCGCAAAATACACCCGAATACTGTGGGAGATAGGTTTAGGTGTGGAAACATGGCAGCGCGGCATCCCGAGTGCCAAATGAGGCAAGTTTGCGTGTGTGTGTGTGCTGCTCTAACTCAATGATGTCATTATATAACATCTTTGGGGGTGCATAATCATATCGTTTTGCAATGCATTTGTGGTTCATCAAACGTGTTTGTGCCAAAATAAACTCCATGTGTTCATGCGTTCGTTGCTTCCTGCCCATTGACTATAAACGGACGGGAGCTTAGTTTGCCCACGTAATGTGCAGAACAAACTGATCTCGGTTCATCCACTGAGCAGGACAAGGTGGACCTTGGACGATGTTGCGCTGGACAAGGTCACCTCTTGAAACTTGCCGAGACCTGGTGCAAAATGAGACCAAGGCAATTGAGTAACGCGCAAAACAAAGA